CTCGTTGTCTAAATTTTTATTTTTTTCCTGATGAGATTCAACACTTATCATTTTTTCTGTCCTTTGTGACATTTCATATGATATTTTTCAGACGAGATCGCATGCTGCAAAAGTCAGGGATAAAAGTGAAGTTATTCCAGTTTCCGTGGAGACGTCTGGGAAGAAGGAATCAGTAACTTTTTGTAGTTACAAACAATTTTTTTTATTAGATGTAGAAATATATTTCATGGGATATTTTTAGGCGAAATCACATGCTGCAAAAGCCAGGGACAAAGAAATTATTCCAGTTTCCGTGGAGACGACTGGAAAGAAAGAAATGGTAACTTTTTGTAGTTATACATAATTTTTTTTATTATATGTGGAAATATATCTCGTTGTCTAACTTGTAATTTTTATTACTTTTGGTTTACTCATCATTTTTCTGTCCTTTGTAGCATTTCATATGATATTTTTCAGACGAAATCGCATGCTGCAAAAGTCAGGGACAAAAGTGAAGTTATTCCAGTTTCCGTGGAGACGACTGGAAAGAAGGAACTAGTAACTTTTTGTAGTTACAAATAATTTTTTTTACTAGATGTAGAAATATATTTCATGGAATACTTTTTAGGCGAAATCGCATGCTGCAAAAGTGAGGGATAGAAGTGAAGTTATTCCAGTTTCCGTGGAGACGACTGGAAAGAAGGAACTAGTAACTTTTTGTAATTACAAATAGTTTTTTTACTAGATGTAGAAATATATTTCATGGGATATTTTTTAGGCAAAATCACATGCTGCAAAAGTCAAAGACAAAAGTGAAGTTATTCCAGTTTCCGTGGAGACGACTGGGAAGAAAGAAATAGTAACTTTTTGTAGTTACAAATAATTTTTTTTGCTAGATCTAGAATATATCTCGTTATATAACTTGTAATTTTTATTATTTTTCAGACGAGATTCAATTGTATTTTTCGAAAGGTGTGAATTGGAAAGTTTTGCAACGCATCACAATTTTTCTTTTTTAGATGAAAACTAGAAGGGTTCGAAGAATTTCTGCGAGATCATTGGGAGAATCAAATAATGTAGAAACATCTTTGCGACATAATCGTTCGTCAAGTACTTCTAGAATCTTTGATTGTGCTTTAAAAAATTATATATACTAACTTTAAAAAGATCTCATAACTCTGGTACAATTGAGTTCTCTAATTTTTTTTAATTGCATGCATCTATATTGTAAATATCATTTAAAATTTAGGTACTTCTGGTGGAAAAGTATTTGGTACTATTTCCAAAGGGGAAAAAGGAACAACAGAAGATGAAGGAAAATTGCGGTAAACTTTAAAAATCCTGAAACCTTGGTGTGTCTCTTTCAGCTAGAATTTTGTTCTTTCAAATTTTTAACTGATTTATGGCGTTTTTAATATCTTTAAGTGAGTAGTAAAAATTAAAATGCAAGTTACGCTTACTGGTATTGAGAGATGAATGTCAAAAATCATTTATATTTAGAAGATCAGAAAGACATCAGGCGAAGGTCGATAGTGAAGTTGGTATAAACCTAGAACCCCTGCCTCCTGTAAAACAAAAGCGAGAAAACAGAGTTGAAGAGCATGATAGCAGTGAGGAATCAGGGAAGAAAAGACGGTACAGGAATTTTTTAATAGTTGACGAAGTTGTAAATAATTTTCAGTAACCATTTTTGTTGTAAGTATAACATATGAGATCGTAATGGGTATGTCTCTTTTAGATAAATATGTGCTCTTATTTATCTGCATTTTTTAGTCGGTTGTCAACCAAAGATATAGAACTAGCTGAAAAGAATAATGAACATCAAGTGGAAAGCAATATTGAGATTCAGTCCAGTCCAGAATTGGAAAAAGAAGTACCCATTTTCATGTTTTCTGTTGTTCCATCTCATTTCCTTTTCTTTAAATCTATATGCTTCAGAAGTGTCTTTATTATATGTTTCCTGTCCTAATTTCTTTACTTGCAATTTGAGGATGAAAGCCCATCGAATGACCAAATTAACGAGAAGGAAAAAGATATTACTTTAGAAGCTGAAAACACAACTTCACAAGCTATTCCTAACGAGACAGATAAAGAAAGAGAAGGTTAAATTTAAATTTCCATTTTGTGCCGAATTTCATTTGATTCTTCATGGAAGGTGTAGTTAAAAGGCATTATTGTATATCATTCAACGGTTTTCAGTATTCAGTGTTTCCATATTCTTCTTTCTTTTTCGAATAATTTTATAGACTCTCGCATATTTATTTGTGGGATATTCCTACTGTTGAGTTTTTAGAAGCGGATCGAGAGATTCCAATGACTCAGTCTCCAGGAGTCTCAGGTGTAAAGTCCGCTAGTCGTCGACAAACAAGAAAAGTATAATTAGAAAAAATTCTCATCTCGTTTTTAGTTTTCAAAGCAATTTTTTTTTCTTGCATAATTTAATGACATCACGTGATGCAGGTGTTTTGTAATGCTTTTTTTAATCTACTCCATTTTGGCAGTAATGTCAGGTCACTGTTAATATAAGTGATATATGAAATTGCCAACTGGGAATATTTTATTTTTCAAATACAAAACAGTAGATAAGTACCTATTAAATTCCATAATTAATTGCATGCTGATGAAATGTAAATTTGGAGTTTATTGTGAATGCTTGTCTGAAATCTAGTGATTGTCTACGTTTAATTTTAAAACTATATTTGACTTGTAAATATGTTTACTTTATGATCTTTAAGGGAGGTGAATGTGATGCGGAACAAAAAGCTCTCATGATTACTGCATGGCGTATGATATCTAGTCATAAACATGCAGCTATTTTTGCACATCCAGTGTCGGATAAAGATGCTCGATCGTACTCAAAAACAGTGAAATGGTATTAGTGTTTCATTTGTTAGTGAGTATCTAATTTGAAGCAAGAAATATGAACTTTAGTATCTTTGAATTTTAATCTGACGCTGGCGTGGTCTTAAATCACATACCTTATTCTTTTTATGATCACAAGCAAAAAAAGTATAATTAGAAAAAATTTTCAAATTGAAGTAGAAACCAGTTGAAGACATCTTGTTATTTATCTCAATGTTTATCTCATTTCAGTGATTATATCTCTGAAAATTATTTTAATATAAAAATTCTTTAGTCCGATGGATCTGAGCACATTGAAAAAGATGTTGGATAATGGTACGCTGAAGGATATGAAGGATTTCAAGCGTAATCTAATATTGATGTTTGCAAATGCAGTAATGTTCAACAGTACGGGGCATGAAGTCAATACTTTTGCAAAAGAAATGGCCGCTGATACATTGAGTGCACTTAAGGTTATTTTTAATATCTTTCATACAGATTAACACACATTGTATCGATTCTGTACATATCGGATCTTGTAATCGCTCTTTAAAATTTAGTTTATAAATTTTTGTTCTTGCATCCAAAATTATCACAGATATTTTTAGTAGTGTAAATGAAAGTATGCAGTCAAATGAAGTATCACTTTCTTTTTATCTTTCTGAGGTTTTTGATCGTTTATCTTCACTGCAGATGCTTCAAAAAGATGTTTTGTACGCTCGGGGTACTGCACATAAGACTCGAAGAAGTGCTGCTTTTGCTGCGGAAGAGGTTTTGATTTCATGTTTTTACATTTTGTATTTCTGATTTTCGAAGTGATTAGTTTTTGTTTTCTTGTTAGTTTACAATTTTCCTTGTGTAACTAAATTTCTGTATAATATATAATGTTGCGTTCTGCAGGCAAAATTTGAACGGTCAAGATTCACGACTAGACGTTCCACTCTTGGTACCGTGGAAGAACCTAATAGAGATAAATCATCGACAAATTTTTCTCGAGAAACTAGTGAGACTCCAAAAAATGTGGTTCAAGCAAAATAACAATAATACCAACATCTCAGAAGTGATTTCTTTTTATTAAGGTTGTATGGAATTATGCATATATTTTTCCTTGCCTTCTTGCTGCATTCATGGATTCATTTCCTCTTCACACTTCATTATGTGCGTGCAAGAGAGCTTTGGACAATTATAATGCATACTAAGGTGATTTACTTTTACATCTTGATAAGCGTCATTGTGGTTGCATAGAATTACTAGAAACTTTTTTAGTGGTCGTAAGAAAGAAACGAAGGATGTGTTTGTTAATGTAGTTGACTTAAACTATGACACGATTCGCTATTAAAGCTGATGTCTAATTAGTGAGAAACCGTTTGAGGAAAGCAGTCTGTTTCATGCAGAAACTTTTTACCATCGCTTTGTTGTTCACTTTCTCATCATTCTTAGTCTGCTGAGTACTTCTTGTTACTGTAGAGTTAATGCAAACTGTGGTTTGTTATAATTCTACTCCCATTACCCTTAATTTTGGCGAAATTAATACTGAAAACAAATTTGATGTACTGCAATAAAGCAGTTCGATATTTCTTTGATTCAGTTGGAATTGATAAAGGATAATACTCTCTTAATTGAACATCTAGGTGTGATTAAGATTTGAATGTAATTGCTGAGTGGTAACCTATTTGTCCTTTGTTCATTTTATGAGGGGTACCCATTTCATTGATTAGTGGCTAAATTCGCAGTGTTTCTACTGTCAGTTCCAATAATTTGGATGATGAAATATTCAGCATTTTGCTATCTTTGGCTGTTAATATATCTAGAAAATGCTAAAACAGGTATGCTGATTAGTAGAGTTCCTCAATGAGATATGCGGGAAGTATTTTTAATAATGAGAGACATGTTTTTATCTAATTTCATCTTGAAAAATTTCTCCCTCATGTTTATGTATTGCATGAATAAATTTCTTATATTCATTAAGATATCTTACAGCAAACATAGTCGACATAGCTTGCCTTCAGAACTCCAGTTTATCTTCTTGTGGATTATCGAGGAGGAACGATTTTGTGTCATCAGAGGAGAAAGATGATCATTTTCTAAACCTCTTAAGTTTTACGTATATAAGTGGGAAAAGGTAGTAATTACGAAAAAGGAAATTGGAACGGCTATTGCAGTCTACTTGTCATTCATCATGTGCATTTGAAGTTATTTCATGCATCAGATACGAGATCTAGTTGACTTGTACAAGGTTTTTAGATGATAAGTGTTTAGGCTTCGGAAGAGTCATCTGAGTCATTCACTGGTTCGCCTGATTATCGATGGTCGATCAATAAACAACCTTTTTCAACTACTGCAATATCAGAAGCTCTGTTTAGATTATATCCTAGTTTAATACCTAAAGATGACCCTGAATGGTTCTGTAATAAAGCACAGTTGCAATACCAAAATATTTGTGTACCATGGAAGAAAATACGTTACGATCTAAAGGTTGATTTATTCTTGTGTACTTAATATGTTTGCGCACAGCTTTTGCTATAATTTTTTCGTACCATCAGGAAGAATATTCTATTTTCGAAGAGCGAATGTGCACCTCCAAGGTCTTTAAGGGTGGTGATTTTACCAAACTACAATAAGACTGTTTGGAACTATCAAATGACAGTAATTCATAATGTTTAAGAACAGCAGATAGAAAAATTTATTATTTTAATGCATAGATATTTTGCTACGACTACGCGGATGTATGCGAAGTACCAAATCATAATGGTGGTAATATATTCGATGATGGACGGCCTTTCGGGCATGGTCAAAAGCAAACAGATGGAACAGTTGGTGTTGGAAATAGTTTTGCTCTAGGTCTTGGACCTGTACCAGGTTTTGAAGTAGTTGCAAGCCAAGGTGTTGATGTTGGCCCAGTCCCCGGCTTAGATGAGGTTATCTCAAAACTTGCTTACAATTGTAATGTCAAAATATTTGTGAACTATGAGAAGAAATACAGCCCAACATTGGTGTGGAGTTTTAATTCTTGATAGACTTTTCAAAGTGTCTTCTCAACAAATAACAGCTGTCGTTCTAGTTCCTGTGCAATTTGATTACAGATTGGTGGCTTTGTGCTGAACAAAGGCAGTGAATTAGGTATTCTCGGAGAACGGATCGGACGGGGACCAGCACGATCTATTGACGGCTTAGCTCATGGCTATTCAACTTTCGATCCTTATTCTTTCACGCAACGACAAACTGCTGACTTACAGCAAAATTTGTTTCGTTCTCTTGGACTGGGCAATTTACCTGCACTAGGAAACTGTTAGTTTGCCATGCTAGAAAAAATTGAACGGTCACATATTAAACCTTTTGAAAATTGCATTTAAAACAGCAACCCGAAATGATGTAAATCTTCCACTTCAGTAATACGAAAACTCTCAACAGAAATTCCAGATTAGAAAAGTCTTCTTTAAGTTCTAAATTATAAACAATTTCCGACCTTGCAAGCTTGAATATTGGAACTTTAATACCTCAAGTACACATTTTATTTTAAGAATCTTCGGACTAACAAATTTATTCCTTCTAAAATAGATTTACACATATTCCATTTCAGTTTATGCAGTTCAAATTTTAGTATTTGGAAAATCATCACCTAGAGCACCACAAAAGCCAAAAGTACAAGGTTATGAACCAGGTTATGGAGCTGTCAACAAGAATGCATTAATAGCTACTGGCAAGACAGACACGGATGAGGTGGTACTTCCTGCCGTGATTGGAGATGTGCAGATGAGTAAAGGATTTGGTTTGGGCATCGGATAATGAAATTTTAGGGAAGCTGACTAATAAAAGTTCACTTTTGCGAATGTTTACACTGTTCCTACAGAGCAACAAAACAGAAGAATGAAGAGTATGATGCTGTTAGAAGTAACAAGTATTTTTGGCTAAAACATTAATGGAATGGTGAGTGTGATCAGTGTTTAACCAAAAAATCACTTGAATACTAGAACGAATAACTCTCGAGCGACCTTAGTTCTCAACTGTCTTTCCCTTTATAAATTGGTGGATGTCTGAGTTAAAATTATAAAACCCAAACTCTCTTGTCTTCTCATTCTCAATATTTCGAAGAATACAAAATTCTACAGTGATTTGAAGAATACAGAATACAAATTGATGCATAAATAATAAACTCAAATATATAAATATTCAAGTATATTTTGCTATACTTCTGGTATTGAAAATATATAAATACTCAAAACATAAAGACACTCTAGTTTTGCATATAGCAAAACTAGTGTTTTTATATTCATATATACGACCTAACATCTACAATCAACTACACAATATGTACAGTTGACCACATTAATTAGTGAAGCAAATAAATAATTTCAGAGTATTAAAGTAATCAGGTTCAAATGTAGGAGACTATAAATATTATATGCATGAAAATTACAAAACGGAACGATCACGATACGTATATATGCAGTATTATAAAATATCAGTCATACCACGAGTAAACGTCATTAGTAAGTCCCAGTTAGTGTGGTTCTTTACCACTTCATCATCAACCCACTTCGCATAATTGCGTTTGAATCGATTGCTCAATTTAATCTTTGTACCCAACAGTGACTGAAAACTATTATTTACTGGTCCAAAATCATGTATATGAATGCTATCTAAATGGCCATCACCAGGAGACGAAGCTTCCTCCACATCTGTAAATTTCATAATAATTTTACAAAGAGTGAAGTCTCTAATACATTAATCTTGCATTTAATACGGTAATTCAAATATATTTATTAACAATTCCCCATAACAGATGATAAAAACGAATACACCGAACTCAAAAAATGAACAATGAGAAGAAAAAGACCCTCCAATCGTTCAATAAGTAAAATAAAGTACCCAGTGCAAGCGCAGGATAGAGATGAGCATACCGCCTGGAATTGAATTTTTCCACCGCAGTCTTTAATGCAGCCTCTTCATTTTGAAAATCCCATGATTTCGAACGAGTCTCATTTGCAAATGCCCAATCATCATTTAATCTACAATTGAACTTAACACTGACATGCTAAAAGGATACATTGCAGGTTGTAGGGACATCATTATCAAATATATTATATTATTCTCCCACTTGCATTTTTGGCAACAAGCAAAATAAACTCAACTACTCAATTATTTATTTACAAACTCACTACGTATAGTTTATACTTTTACTATGATTCCATTTTTATTACATTATAAACAAAAAATAGTCAAGTAAACTGTTAAAGTCAAAAAACAATACAAAATATTATTTATTAAGGCAAAGCAATACTCAACGATTCAATATAATTACAAAAAAATTGAAGTATGCTGTGATTTCTGGACCATTTCGGATCATTACTTGGTAACTAAGAATGCAAAAGGCAAAGAGTCTCCCAAATACCGCATACGCAGAAATTTACCTATGTCGTACTTTTGCATATATTGCAGACATTATATCCATATTTGTCCGTCTCCACTGACGCCCCAGATATCGAGCTTGCATTTTTAGCAGTTTCAACGCATAAAGTTGAAATACTGCCTAAAGAAATATATATTGATTCCCAATGATCGATAAATCATTACAAAAATTAAAACTTTGCACTGCGTTCAGAATAGAAGAAATTTGCAAGAATTTCAACTTTAAACTGATCGGACAATTTAAAATGTATAAATTTATTACGATAACCGCATCTCATCATCGAAAATAATACGAAATGGAATTTTTTAATAAGACAGAACTTGAATTTTAATGAGAAACAATATTCAAATTAGTCACCAATTTCAAAGACTGAATTAATCTGAAGAATAACATACTAATTTAACTCTCAGTGAGCGTTGTAACTTTGGTGCAGATTTGAAAACTACTAGCATCATTGTACGTGACTGTTTCCATTTCGTCAGTTTATTTAGTACGCGCAATAAATTGATAGCTGAGAAGACGTTGCGCCATAAGTAATATGATTGAGAATCAGTGTCTTCCAGATTATCAGTGTCAAGTATTGGCCATTCCTCTGAAATAATTCTTGTCAAGTGAAAAACACGCATGATTGAAGGTAGCATCTCAACAACTGCAATATTTTACTGTAATACATCTTTGATGAATCAAATCTTGTAGCAAAATTGACTCAATAGTGAAAACCAGCTTTACCATTTTGCACACGACAAAATATGAAAATGTATCATTATCGAAATGTATTGATCAATTACATTAAAAAACTCACCAACATTAGGAAAGCTCAACAACCTCAAAAACGGTATTTATACTGTGAGTTCAAACAACCAATAACTTACCATTTCGTGCATAATAGAGAGGAGCATAAGGATAATTGTATGGCGGTAATTCGTTTTTCGATTGCATGTGATGAACCATATTTTGCTCCATAAATTTTAAAATCAGTGGTATGCAATTAGCAAAAACAAGATGTTGACTAAGATACTCGAATTGATATACGTGATTCAGCCGAAAATGTTTCATTAGCAATATAAGAATTGCTGAGACGGCTTTCACAATTATCTTAAAATCAAAAATATTCTCATAAAAGTCTTCTAGCGTTTGAATAAACTGCACTTACATCGCCATAAACTTTCATTTTTGATAAACTTCGACCATGATAAACTTCACCTCTTTGTGTCGATTGACATCAATTCCAACACGAAGACTATCTTCTAACACATTAGACAGCGAACTATCGAAATTGATTGAACTCGATAATATTTCGCAGTGTTCGGTTCCAGGTGTCAATACATCTGATAATATATTGATCGCTTCACTTTTTGCCTATAAAGCCGAGAAAAAAATTTTCTTGAATTGCTTAATGAGCAGAGTATAATCACTATAATTCTGAAAAGAGAAGAAAAAACCGCGAGAAACTACAAATGACATGAAACAAAAATCATAGTTAGTGTAGGGAACTACATCTTGAATAGAAATTATGCTTGCAATTGGACCTACATTACTATTATAATTGCAGTTATAACTATAACGATACAATATTGTATCATCTTTATATTTTACCGATCTGGAATTAATTAGTTCAATAACCTTGGAAGACGGTGCAGCAGCTACTAATACTTTTAATAAAGCAACGACATACTGACTTAAATTAGGCAATATCATCCGGTACAGTTTTTCTGCACTGGTCAGTAGAATATTTTCTTCACATTGCGAAAAGATATACCGATTCAGTTCTCTTTCTCGATTTGCCTGGAAACGATGAACTCATATTACATAACATATTACTGTTAGAACTAGAAGAATTTTAATTTTAATAATTTTGACGGTAGTATGTCAGTTTTTTCAAAAAATTTATAAATACAAGCAAAAAAAACACCTCTAAATCGCCCAACGAAACATAAACGTTACGGCGTAAAGCTTCAATACTTTTCTGAATTGGTAATGGTAAGCCAAATATCGTTGTTGAATCATTTGGTAAATGATAATTGAAAAATTTCATTCTAAAGTTAAAGAACAGGACAGATTACACTCATATTTAATGACTAAATTCTTTTTCTTTAGAGATCTCAGCACTAAAAAAAGTATTATAAAAAAAGGTAAGTAAATATGGTAATACAAAATCAACAGACCCACAAATACTCCTAGAAATGAAAATAATTGCAAAATTAAAGCAACCTTTCAGATTGCAAAAATGCTGCAATATCTTCTTCTCGCACTTTTGACTTCCATGGTAAAGATGTCCGGAAAAGTATATCTATAGGTGGTGGCGTACCTGCTACCGGTGTATGATCACCGAAATATGAACTTCTGCAATTTCTAATTATTTAGTGAAAGAAATTATTAAAATACAAATCTAAATTCAAATTCCGTACATGTCCGTATAAATAAGACGTAGTAAATATATTTGCTGTTAAAAACATGCCGCATTAACGGATTTGGACGACTTGGGTTGCAAGAGAGAGTAGAAGTGTAAGACATATCTTCTGATGCTGAAAATTAAAGTAAATAACACTTTAATAAGTAAATTACAGCAATTTTATTAGGAATATATAAAACTTTCTTCTTTTACTTCTCATTTAAAAATAAAAATTCTATACCTGACGAAGTTTGAGGCACTTTTTCATCAATTACCAAGTTTGTGCTGAAGTCATCTGCATCTTTCCGAATTTCACAACTTACATCGTTGCACAAATCCACAATTTCTTTCTCGTGACCGATTTTTTCATTTTCACTGTCTGATTTATCCAATGTAACATCGGTTTTATCTACAAGACTTGAATGCTTAAATATCTTTGATAGCTGGGTCAGAATCCTAAAACTTTAGTAGAAAACTATGGGAAAAATAAAATTTAATGATTAAAACCGACCTTCAAGGGAATCCGATGCAGTACAAGCAAGCTGGCGACATATTAATCGAATAGATGGACTAACTGTTTTCTTCAAACGTGCAATACCTACAATCGTCCTGCTTACGGTAATATTAAAACATGCAATTACACATTTAAAAAAGTCCACATACTTAAAAAGATAATCCAACCGCATTCTCCGTTCACTGTACTTTTTACAACATTAATAGTGCAACGTACTACGTTTCAAGAGTCCTTTCAACAAATCAACTTATCTTACCTTGACTTTGTTCTGAATCATTTCCACTTATAGAGGACGACTTCATAGCACTTGCAACAAGAAGCGTATCTTCAACCGCATTTAATTTTGCTGCTGCTCTTTTGGCGGCTTTACCCTCTCGTAACTCTTTCCATCCTCCCAAAATCGTCAAAAGGATTTTCCAAATCAGCAAGAGAATCTAAAGGAAGATGTTTTGATCAAAGTTTTTTGCACTCATACTATTCACGTCTAGAACTATCTGAACTAATTTACCGATAAAAAACAACGTCATTGAAAAATATTAAACAGCTGACAAAGATAGTAATAAGTTAGCACAATATGAACCCTATTATCCATCTCTATGACTACAACATCAGCTATTGCCATATGTCTTTCAGTATTGTCTTGTACAAAGTGGATGGCTAATTCTTCATTTTATAGCAAAAAATACCTTTTTAATAGGAAAATGAGGGCTTTTTCCATGACAAAAAGCGGGCATCATATCCAGCAAAACAATAATTAGCGACACATTAGTCCCCTCAATAATTTCTTCTGCAATTAATAATAAATTACTAATCTTAAATCATAACACTTACATCAATACCTCAAGAATCAATTGAGAAGATGACAGTATTAACCGATTTCTTCCATAAAATCTTTTCTCAGTTTCATATATCGCGGTTTCTTATCGACCGGTACGACATATTCAAATAAATCTTGACGTCTTATCGACTCTATCATGTGATATAGGATGCAAAGAACTACACGAAGTGATTCGTTATCAGCTATTGTTGCAGTTCGTCGATTATTTCGTCTCTCTGCTGCAAAATAGCTGAATCAGTTTTGACTAACATATTGATTTGCACCAATTTTCATAACACGATACTTGAAACTTGAATGAAAAAAATGTTTTTTCAACCTGTAAATATAAACGAAATGAATCATACCTGCAAGTGACTACAAAGACAGCCTAAATAAAATTTGCAGATCTTAAGAATTAAAAAAAAAAGAGGTTCAGAAAAATGGATACCACCACAGCTGTCCGAAAGATCGGCATTAGATGCTGAACGACTATCTGATGCTGAAGTCGATCGACTGCCCTGATCTGTAGCATTAAATCGTCCATCCGACATATCATGAGTTTCAGTCAATAACAGTTTACATAATACCTATGAACAATGTTATAATATCAGCTTCTTGAAGTACTAATTTATTAACGCCGCAAAAAACCTATAAATCTGAGAGTGACAAAAATGGTTATTGAAAGAGTGTAATCTGCAAAAACAACTAACCTGATATGCTCCAACTTCATACATTTTGTAAGCGTTCAAAATCCCTTCAACCAAGCACTTTTGTTCACAATTCGCGGTCCCTAATTCTTCATTTTCTCTAACATCGGTGACGATACCATTATTATCATCAAAATCCATATAAGCACCCTAAAACACTGAAAGAATAAGAGCTAACTATTTCTGTTCATTTTCAAAATTCATAAATAACATGGTAATTTACTAAACTAATAACTTTTCTCGCTCCCAATATACTAGTATATCCCAAATTCTGAAAAAATCTTGGTAAAACTTCTATAGAAAAATAGTATGCAACAGTTATGGTTAATATCATCAAAACGTAAGATAAAAATAATGCTCATAAAAAAATCGTTACCTGTAAAATATAAAGCAAACAACGCGCTGCACTAATTCGTTTGTTTACATCAGCTTGTTCCAACTCTTCAAGTAAACAAAAAAAAATATTTTTCTGTTGACTTTCCGAAAAAGAGGACCATTTCTGACTGCCCTAATAATAATAATAATTAATTAAAAACTGATTAAACTCAAAAAACAGCAAAAAATTCTACTAATTTCGAACTGATAACAAAGACAGAAAAAAATATCGTAACATGAGGCAAATATCTTAACCTGACAATATTTAAAGATATAAACATTGAAAAAATCACTTCTCTAGATTTCATAAAAACACCATAAGCATGCATGTTTAGAGCCCAGTCTTGCATTTCACTATATGTGTAAAGTTCAGCAAGCTCTGCAGCATAAGTATCACTATCTGAGTATACAAAATCAAAATCATTCATCTTACATTGTGCCTAAAAATTATGATTAATTACTTTCACATTATTTGTAATTGAAAATCTTAGTGACATTTTCAGTGCGCAAAATGACTTCCCTCGTGCAATATCTACAAGTGTAAATAGAATATTTGAGGACTTGGCCTTTAAATATGAATTTATTGGACAAAAGAATTACTGATGAATCATTGTCTAATGCTTTCGATTTATTCGATATCTCTTTCAATTTGGGCAAATGTGCTGAGCGTCTTTGAGCAAGTGCTGATTCGCAAATGTCAGTTCGATTTTCAATAACATCATTTTTCACATAGTTTACTTTTTCACTTCTAACACTTGGAGCGTTTACACCGTAAACTATGAAATATTAAAAAACTGCAATTAAATTCAGTAAAAATTTTAAGCATAACTTCACTTTTGTGAAAGAATATCTTTGTTTTTAAAAACACTAAAACTGGTAGCTATATCACTTATGCAATCTTGTGAATATAATACCGACCATCATCAGCAAACTTTGGCCTCAGACGACGAAGAATTTCTGGCTTTTCTGGTTCTAAAATAAAAATCAGTCAGTAAATTTGATTTGCGATATTTTTGAATACAATAATAAACGTTCCCTAGGAATTAAAAGATATAACATTGTGTAGCATTTGCTCAAGAAAGTTCTAAATAAACTTGAATAGCTGGACAAATTGAGACTGGATTAATGTCAAAAAATTTTTATAATGTAGATCTTTTATCTTTATGTGAAAAATAAAAGGAAAGGAATGATTGCTTTGGCACTTTATAAATCGCGAAATGGAAAATATATTAATCAGGATTTACCTATATGTTTACATCACTAACTTGCTAGGAAGACTAAAACTACTATATTGTGACTTTTGTAAATCTATTTTTCAATGTACAGAAAAAAGAATTATTAATTTATCTTAGTTATTGTAACTACGTCAGTTAAAACTAATTTCAAGACAATTCCAATCACAACAATTTTGTATTTGGAAAAAAGATGATTCAAATTATACCAATTTTGCACATATACGATTTTTGAGATTAATTCTCTATCACTTTTCCGCCAGCTTCCAATAATTTTAAATATTGACTTTTTTGTATCTTACCCCATCTTTCACTTAAAAATCAGAAAATCACACTATAATTTGTCTAATTTAATCACAAAATGGAATGTCAGTGTTTAGTTCCATATGAATCTACATCTTATGAAAAGTGCCAGAAACTTGGTAAGTTTGATGAATTTTATGGATTAAATTTGCTTATGATCATAACCACATTTGTTAACTAGACTAACACTATTTCCGTCAACAGTATGTTTTATCACATTTTTAGTAAAGCTTAAGCATTTGCAACTGGTTTGATGTGTGTCTTCAAAACGCTTATATCAATCAACATCTAAAAACTTTTGTCGACTTCTCACAAAACCCCCCTTTTTTTGGAACTAGAACACAGCTTGGTTAAGCATATGTTTTCAAAATAAGTACATAAACTTCGAACGAGATTTACCTATATGTTTACATCACTAAGTTGCTAGAAAGACTAAAATTACCATATTGATACTTTTGTAAATCTACTTTTCAATGGGCAGAAAAACGAATTATTTCTGATTTAAAATACTAAAATGTGGATCTAACTATTCATTAATTTAATAAACGAGACAGTAAAGCTATGTGAGTAGGACAAAACGAACACAAACCCTGTGTATTCATTGACACATAAATAAATTCCGATCAAGAGTGAACTTCTAATTTTTCAAAAATTTAAAGCAACAAAGAAAGTGATACACTGTTGTTGTTGCTACCACTGGTCTAATTATAATTTTCGTACACATCCAATGACTACCACTATTCCGTCTGTAAACACATTCATATATTTTTAATACGCAATAAATATTTGAAACACTAAATGAACTTGTACTTAAAAATATTTGAAATTCAAATTTTTAAAATCTACAAAAAACAGAAAGCAGACACAAAAAATACATACATCTGACAAATACATAGAAAAGTATGAATCAGCATGATGGAAGTGAAAGTACAAAATATTAATAAGGCGGATTTTATAAATATATGAAAAGCATACCTCGTTGTAAACAAGTAGTATAAGTATCACATAACAAGTATAATTTTAAAAATTTTTATGCCTGAAAAAATAAAATTTACACACAACATAATGAAGCAATCGACTTTGTTTTCTTATATCTGTAATATATCAGTGAAACATTTATTCTTGTTACATGTTTAGCTTGAAAGAGTAAGATTTTTTTGGGAACTTACTTTGAAGATAATAGAATTGAGTAAGTAGAATGATTGTGATAGTGTTAGAGCATACCAAAAGAAGTCAGTAATGAAGACAAATAACCTAAAACTTTCATTCTACAATTTCTATGATTGAAACTTTGCTAATAAAAATGAAAGTGCATAAGCATTAAAATTCAGTGAAAAGCTTTCTACGCTGATGATTTGAACAAGAAAAAAAAATACTATTACGAGTAAACATAAATTAATTAAAATTCATCAATTTTAACTGCAATTGTAACTTATCTGCGCAAACAATACATAATTAAAGCAAAGCAAAACCACAGTGAAACTGTTTCTCAATTCTAATAGTCCAATGAACTGCAAATTGAACAAATTTTCAATCACTTACAACATTTCTTAGGGCCGTATTATATTCCAACATCTTATCCTTCACTCTGCATGGAAATAAGCTTGCTGTTTTCTGGTTTGATGTGGTACTGATGATTAGCTTCATATAGCAGAGCACTTTTATTTCTACCTCTAATTTGCACTCGATGCTTTTCAGATTATATTTGTAGTGTAAACAATGTTTGACGTATTTCTGCTTGAATAATATCACACAGTTTTTTGCTACTTAATTTTGCTTTCTTTCGTTCTATTCGTGTATATAATCAAGCATTTCTTTCTCTTTACATTTCTTTGATTGAAGGTAGTACGTAATGTTATAACCAAAAATCATTATTAAATGAATAACTTATTCATTCATTTCAGTTTTATAAAATATTCCTTCTTTCTAAAAAATACCAAGTAACTATAGCAACGAATTCAGTTAAAAGTGTAATTTTTGAATTAACTAACTGAAAGATCACGTTTAAATGTTTATTTTGTAATATTTAACTAATATTTTCTAGAAACCTATATTCGTTAAAGAATTGTAATTATTAATGCTCTGTGATGTTACTTTTTAGAATCTCATTCAAAAAATATTCCTGTGAAGTTAAAAGTGACCATTGCTTTGGATTTGGTAGTGCGCTTTTATTTGAATATTACTATGGAGATATTAGCGAAGAATGATCATTCAGAAAACAAATGCATATCGTAGATAGAAAATGTGTGGAACAATCGTTTGGTTTCATCCTCTATGAGTAGACTTTGGATAACCGACGAAGTATGTTATTTCTATCATTTAATTCAATAGATTAATTAATTTGTGTATTCTGTACTTTGAAGTCATTTCTGTGTTTTCAATCGCTTTTCTCGAGTTATTTTTAATTTCAAATCCCCAAGTATTGCGGTTATATTGATAGGAGATGGATTTAGCAAGAAAGATTTGACATTTGAATTAAAACTTTAGTTATAACTATCGTAATGAGAAAGTACTGAAGCGCCAAAAACTGTTGTTTATTTTGGAATTCAATATTCATAAAAATACGTTTTCAGTCATATAAGATACGTAACGTGTTTGATATAAAGATTATTTTTCTAGTTAAAAAAGTGCTTTTTTAAAATATCTTTCTAAATTGCTAATACTTCTGCGGAAGTTACCTTGTTTAAATTTAGTAGGCAACAATTTCCTATGCTTCAGTTTTCTCTCTGTATTATAATTATATGTAGAGAATAAACATGATTGTTGTGAAGAGAATATTTATAGCAGAGTGAAACAACTTCCTTGATATCACCTTCCTCATCCAAAACGTGTTTATCTGCATTTAACCGACGAAGAATAATGGAAGAACATCGAAGTGGTATGGAAACAAGTATATTTGGTGATGAAGATGTTGTATCCACGTCTAATAATGCACCAGCATTGGTTCATGCTGAACAAAGCAATCGCGGTTCATTGAAACATCGTGGTATATTAGTAATCCTTTAAAAAGTGAATGGTGCATTTGAAAGTTATGTTTCGTCTAATTATGTGCTGATTTTGTTTACTTCATATTTCAATAGCAAGTTACTTGTCGAATTTAACTCAATTATTTATAAAATATTCTAGGTGCTCTCAGAAATAATTCGGAACCAATAACTGATAATGACGAGATAATTGTCGATGAGACCTCTCCACCTATATCAAGGTTCTTAATTAATTAATGTAAATATTTCTAGAAATGATTAACTCTGAATTAAAGTTGAGCATATTTGGAGTATACAGAGTAGTGACTTAAAGACTTGAAGTTTTGTTGGTACAAAATTATTTGCTTACTATGTTTGAAGCTGGCTTTTACAAATATTCACTATAAAAGTTTGTAGAAAATTCATTTCAACATTGTTGTGTATCACAGTTTTTATTATGAATCCGTCAAAACACTATTTTTTACAGTCGGTATGGAGATTTCCATACTATAGATTGGCAGCGAGATTTAGCACGAGACAGACTACGTCATAAATTTGTCGTCAAACGATCAGAAAGCTCTCTTGGTAAACTATATAGTTTATGGGATGCAGGAAGTGGCTGGGTTTGTGTATTAATGGTTGGTCTTGCTGCTGGTACAGTAGCAGGTATCATTGATATTGGAGCACGCTGGATGAGTGATTTAAAAGTGACTATTAAAACTTATCTTGATAAACAAGCTTATATTACATTATATGTAAAACCCACCTTCTATATTCCAGTCTTTGTTAGATGCTTAAATTGTAAAATTTTTGCGAAATAAACGTATTTGAAAATAGTTTTTCCTTCTTTTTTGTCAAATAAAAATGTGAAGCCAGATTTATTATTCTTTTAGGATGGAGTATGTGCTGATCGGTTCTGGCTTGATCGTGAGCACTGTTGCTGGTCAGCAAATGATAGTGTGTACAAGGATGCCGATTGTTCTGCTTGGACTTCATGGCCTGAAGTGATGAAAATTTACGATCGAAATATTCTTTATTATGTGATGGAATTGTTCTTTTACTGTAGTTGGAGTGTATTGATGACAGGAGCGACTGTAATTTTGGTTAAAGTATGTTTGCTCAACGCATTTTGGATTTCAATCATAAATGTTTTAAGTTTTCAGTAATAATAAGAGTCATTGGAGTTGAGTTTTTTGGAATTTTCTGTTCTTTTAGTTTGTAAATTAATTTTTCTACTCAAATATAAAATTTTTTTGTAGAATTGAAAATTTCTCATGCATGTGTTCCTAAAAAATGTCTTCAGATCTTTGCTCCGTATGCCTGTGGTTCAGGTATACCCGAAATAAAGTGTATATTATCTGGTTTTATCATTAGAGGCTATTTGGGTAAATGGACTTTTATCATCAAATCTGTTGGTTTGATATTAGCATCTGCATCAGGTTGGTACCGATTTTCTTTCACTTGATTTTGTTGTTAATTATGTCAAATAACTCTGACTCTGTTTTTAGCAAAGATTCAAGTCTGAAGTTTTATTTTTGAGTCTTACATTTCAGGTTTGAATTTGGGAAAAGAAGGTCCTATGGTTCATCTTGCATGTTGTATAGGGAATATTTTCTCTTATTTGTTTCCGAAATATGGCTTAAATGAAGCTAAAAAACGAGAAATCTTAAGTGCTTCTGCTGCAGCCGGTGTTTCAGTTGCTTTTGGTGCTCCTATTGGAGGAGTTTTGTTTAGGTAATTCTTAAGGTTAAGAGTTTTCTGAGACTTTTTCTTCTCAATCACTTTATATCTCAAAATAAATAGTATACTTTTTCATACTGCAGTTACTGCTACTGAATCTATGCATAGAATTAATTATTCACTACATTCGGTCGGTAGTTTAATACTTAAAGAAAGTCTAGTTTTCAGAATTTTTGATTTGAGTGTTTGGAATCAGAAAAAATAAGTTAAAATTTCTTCATTTGTTTGAAAATTTTACAAGGAAAATAAATTGGTGTTATCAAAAATTTTAGCTTGGAAGAAGCAAGTTATTATTTTCCTCTCAAAACTATGTGGCGTTCCTTTTTTTGTGCTCTTATTGCTGGAATTATTTTGCGAATAATGAATCCATTTGGGAGTGATCAGGTGAGTCGAAATTTGTTTCGTAAAATCAAACTATTTGATAAAAAGCTTTAGACTGTGTAAGGAAAAAAAACTTGTGACAAAGTACCATCTTTTGAATCTCAAATAACCTTGTTGAAAATATCTTTACAAAAGGCCGTGATTTTGCTCATTGATTTACTGAGCAAGTAGTAAGAGACTTTAGTATCTAAGTTGGTTAGGACAAATTTTTGGATTTTCAGTATTTCAAATTACACATGGTCACAATAAAAGTAAACATTAAAATTCTTTGCAAAAGCAGTTCCTCAAAAGCAATGTAATCAGTTATTCAGAATATCTGCTCCTAACATATTTTTCATTAAAGCATTGTAACTGCCATTTTATTATTTTAGATCAAAGTATTATAATGCGTTATACATATGTCATATCATGTTGTATGGTATATTTTCAATTGTTAAATTAGTTTCAGATTTCAGGTCATGTACATAATTCCCATTGATAGTAAACTTTAACATTTTCAGACATCGTTATTTCACGTTGACTATAGCATGAAATGGACATTCATTGAATTAGTTCCTTTTGCTGGCCTTGGATTGTTTGGGGGTATAATTGGAAGTTTGTTCATTTGGTTAGATTTTCATTTTCAATTTCCTTGTATTACCTTCATTTTCTTCATTTGAATCAGTACTTTGTGAATTTTTTTAAACATTAAATCAGCACATAAACTTAAGTTTATAGGGCAAACATCAAATGGTGCCGGTTTCGAAAATCGAACAGTACATTGGGAAACAATCCTGTAAAAGAGGTCCTTGTTGTAACACTTATCACTGCATTTGTCAGTTATTTCAATATATATACACGGCGAAGTTCATCATCACTAATTAAACAAGTTAATTTTATTTCATTAAAAAAAAAGTTTTTTTTTTTGAAAGATGCTTTGAAAATATTTGCAGCTTTGTTTTATTTTTTAAAAGTAAATTGGCAATTTTCATTTATAGTTTCGGAAAAGTGATAATATCTGAAGTAGCTTGAAACTCATTAATTACTTGGGTAGTAGTCATTCAAAATGTCTTGAAACTATTCAGCTCTTCTTTTTGAAAGCAACTACGCAGTAGTGTTATGAAATTTGTTAAAGAAAGGGCACCTAGTGTGATATTATGTTAAATATCAAGTTGTTGACTAATCTTGAAATAACAAGCTGCGAACTGGGAATAGTTGGGATTCCGGGCTTAAACATGTCTGTTGAAGAATTTTCAACTATTTTTGTATCATGATCTTAATTTGTTAAGATTTGTTGGGGAACTGTCTTTGTGGTATTTATTTCTCTTGACTGGTTAAAAAAAACCTGGCAGTTTTACGAGTTGCAGCTTTTCGATCGTTGTGGGCCAGAAGATTTTATGATGGATCTCTGTGACTATCAAAATAAAACTTTTTCTTCTGACAAAGTTGATGACAACTATCATACAGGAGAATTTGGGGCGGGTGTACATGTGAGTTTTCTTATTTAATACTTATCTTTACTATGGTGCAACACTGTCAGAAAGACATGGTCATCAAAATTTACAAGATTACTTGCAAATAACAACGTTGTGCTTACTACTTGATGAAGTTATTTCATTTTCTTGTTAAATCTGTTCAGAAATCCACTACAGAAACACAAACGTTCAAATATACGCTATCAAAAGCCGTGTGGCATTTTATTTTAAAGTACTTTAATGCTTTTGATAGATGCTTTTCCTTTAAAAACATCAGTTGTGTATGTGCCTGTTTTTTCAATTAATGTAAAGAAAACGAAAAAAATAATTTATTGATGTAAGGACTAATAATTTGGTACTGTTCTTATTAAAGACAAAATGATTATTTTTTGAAACATATTTCAGAGTGCTTTTATTCAACTAATTCTGGCATTGATAATAAAATTCGTGTTAACAATATTCACGTTTGGTATCAAGGTTCCTGCTGGTTTGTTTGTTCCAAGTCTTGCAATGGGTGCTATTGCTGGACGCTTGCTGGGTATAACTGTAGAGGGTGTTGCCACCTCTTTACAAGTGTGTCAAAAGTTTCCATATCAGTATTGTTAGTCATGTTGATTTATTGCTTTAAGGATTTAGTTAGTTTTCTAATTCTTTATGGAATTTTTTGATCTTTTATTGAATGAAATGATTTGTCATAACGTAAAAAACAAGTGAATTTGATTTTCTTTGGGGAAGGTGAAAAGAAAATTCATAGGATGGTTACACTTTGTTTTTCAAGACATTATATTAATATATATA